TTGTAAATATATGTAAGCGTTCCATATTACTGAACATATGTTCTAATTTAAAAAGAAAGTACCAGTCGTGGAGCCACACATGCACAAATGCAAAAAACAAAACCAAATAAACCTTTATTTACATAGAGTTTACCGTGCCAACACTGCAGTGCAAAGCATGGTATAGAATGATACACAGCTAATAGGGATGGTGGTATCAGAATCACATCAGTATGAACAGATAATTGTTTAAAAAAATGTATATATACATTTGATTACATATGTATCATACTTCAAAAGAGCTGAACGAGGAGATGACAGGCTACTGTGCTAAACATATGCACTTTATTCATTAGATTCATTTTACTGCATTTTGTACAAATGAATGTTACATTTCTCTATAATGCTAATCCAGGTAGATGTAGTCCTAGTTTCTCTATTTGATAAATGTTTATGTATTGGCATCATAAGATTTGTCCCTGAAAAATACTGAATTTCAAAAAAATATCGGCTCACAATTCCCACATCAGTGCATCCCTAACAGTTGATGACCCTTTGTGTCCCAAATTCTACAGACATCAGTTGAGTTTACACAAAATCATTCAATCATCCAAGTATTCTAAAGTCATTAGACAGCACTGCTTTGAAATTAATTTGGTAGTAAATTTGGGCAAATGATCATTATAACTCCCCATCCCTGCTGATTCCAAACTTTGAGCACAAACATCTACATTAAACTTCTCTGACCCATGCCCTACTGTTACTCTGAACACAGAACACTTTATTGTTCACAGTTTTGTCCAGATCCTCTTCCACAAATCACTGTATCTTTTCTTGTACACAATCCCTGTAAACAAGAGACACTACAGTTCACAAAACACTCAGTTGTCTCTTGGTATCAGCAAACACTAAATGAGATACATATAAAACAAGTTGGCCCCAACATCATGACAAGCCTGGGTCAATATGAGGGGCTGTTGTTGTGTGATCTGATTGGTGATCCACGGGGTCAGCGAGACAGCTCAGGGCCAGTATTGCCATCCGTCAACAGCCGTTAAGTCACATAATAGCCAAGATACAGTCTCTACCAGACTGTACAGCCTGAGGGAGTGTTGCTGGGGGTTGGGGGGGTAAGAGAAGGGGGAAATGGGTGGTATCATAGTAGCTGGGGGGCAATTGTATGGTGAGTTCTCATTGGTTCCTTCTGTCCACTGTTCCAGCACTCTAATGGTGGACTGCAGATTGGCTGAGAGTCTTCCAGCTGTAACCGTGGCAACAGTAGCACAGGGTGATGAGTATGGTTGAGTAAACTGAAGTGTTGTTGTGGAAGGTTGCAGAGTAATAGCAGGGTATGGGACAGAGATGCTGAAGTTTGGCTACTGAAAGCTTGTGCTGAAAGTTGCAGGACGCAGCAGGGCATGGAAGGTTCACAACCACTGGCTAGAATTTATTAGCTTATTTTCAATATTGCAATGTCCCATGACTTCAGAACAAGATATTTTAACTGTCATCCACAACCCAAAACCAAAATTCTACAGACAGTGGCTTTTTTGCTTTTTTTATTTTGTTAGTAAACCTTCTTAACATAAAACATGTAAAAACTTTAACGTCTATTAACATAACTTAAAAATCTTAAAAGCAGCTGTGGACAATTTCTATTTGAACGTCTGTCATTAATGATTACATGATGCAAAGGGAACCTGTTGTTTTCAAAGACAGACTAATTTGAGGTACAAGAGTTACTTATGACGGTGACAGTTTGCATATGTGCACCTCCATGATACCTTTCAACAATGGCAGGACATAAAAGAGTCCACACTGACTGACTGTTACCTCATATGGAATTATTTCCACCAAAGGTGCTATTACATGGACTAAATCAATATTACAAGCTGCTGTGTTACAAAAGACAGGAGGGCTGTCTAGACCCCCTGCCAGCTAAACACAGGAACACACATAATTTTGCTGTCCTGCTGCGAGGCTGAGCTTGGTGTGGCTGAGATCCATTCTAGAAGCTGAGCTTCTACAATGTCCCCGCACTGGTCAGGAACGAGGGAACAGTGGCCTGGAAGCAGCTGGATGCCGATTTCCTCTCCACAGGAGGAAGCAGATTGATATAGGCTTTTTCCCAGCAGTGTGTGCAGCGCTGGGCAGACCACACCTCCAGCCTGTGTATTTACCCAAGATTCCTATCGCTTCTGGAGAACATGGAGAAGAGTGTGCCAGCGCACGACCAGCCAAAACAACTCGGTAAACAAAAAAGAGCTCATGGGTCAGGTCTCAGAGCTCTACTTTCTGCTTTTCTCCTATTCTTTTATCTGTTTCTCAGCGTTTGCTTGCCTCCCCATCTTTTTCTCTTTCTCTCTGTGCTTTTCCCTAAGCCCTCGGTCACATTTTTCTCCATTTCTCAGTCTTTGTTTCCCTTTTCTTCAGGCTTGTTTTGCATTTCATAAAACATGGGTTGTCGACATGTTCTGGCAACAGTCTGGCGAGTTCAAATTAAACAGTGCTGGATGGAGGAGATGTGATCTCTCACACATCGTCAAATCAGGATCTCGTGCACAAACATGTTCATATTCATCTCATTCCAGAGCTCTCTTTGTCTTTTGCACCGAGAACCACCGCACAGACGCTCCTACACACAATTTCACTCTAACCCTCTAAGCCTAACGAGATCCTGTTAATGCCATGGCAACCGCAAGCCTCCACATCCTGACCTGGCCATGCCGCGGGCCCGCTGAGGGGCTGCTGTGGATCATTCGCACTCCCAGCATGCTCGGGGGACCTGGGATAGCATGTCTCTACTTCCTCCCATGAGAGGCAGTGAGAGACACTGCACTGGTGTTAAAGTGTTGATTTCTCTGAGTGGAGGGTGTCAGGACTAATGGGGGTGTTAGGCTTTAGTGTTCATGAGGATTCAAGCTTACCATTGAGGGTTGGCTTTCCAGATGCTTACAAATGGTGTCCTATGAAATTATTTATATTTTCATTTAATATATTCTCACTACGAGATAAAAGCCTGGACACACATACTGATAAAATGTTTTTTCTTACTTTTTTCTATTTTACACATTTTCAAATATGGTGAAGAAATCAATTATACAGAAATCAAAAAACCTTTAAAAAAATACCTGCTATTCTAGATTCCTTTAGAAAGTAGCACACTTTGCCTTGAGGAAGCATTGCACACTCTTAGCATTTTCTCAAGCAGCTTTATGAGAAGCCACCTGAGATTATTTTTTTTCTAATGTATATACTGTGTTGACCTTGATGCTGCTGAAAATACCTTGTTTGGGAGGCATTTCATATATTTAGCCTTTGGATCAAAATGTCTAAGATTATGAAAAATGTTCAGTTGTGTCCAAACTTTTGACTGGTTGAATATATAACCTATATAACAAAAAGTCACATTGTAAATCAATCTAGTGATGACAAATAATAGAATAGAATAGAATACCTTTATCATTGTAGAAGTATAATGAAATTCAATTTGTGACTCCCTGAGTTTGATGTATTTACTGTTACTGTCAGCACACCAGCATTGTCAGAACAAAACCTCATATCTCAAAAACGGTAACTTTACAGGAGAAGGAGAAATGTTTTTAACTCATAATAGAAGTTAATGTAAAAAGATGTTTTTTCAAAGTCATTTTGAACAGTTTGCATTGATTTATTTATTTGTGAAATTCAATGTAAAGGGCAGCTGGTGTTCACAAATTGTATTGAAAAAAACAGAGATACGAGGTTTTGTTCCAACAGTGACAACATGAAAGACGCTTTAATACACAAAACTATGTGTTCTATGTTTCCATAGTCAAGTGAGAGAAATACAGTAATAATACTATAGCACTACCAGACTAATTCATTACTGACAAATAACAAGTACAAACATTCAGTCAACTTAAAACTTCCTACATGTCCCTTTTCAAGCACATAACACACAGCAGCCTTTACCAGCTTCAACATCCCAATGAAACAGTCACTAATCTTTGTCCTTGGGCTACCATTCATCTCCTTTCAGACTGTGTCCATCAGCCATTTGCTTACAATTCACTCTTAGACTGTTACTGTCTCCCGCTCTTAGTGTACCACTGCTGCCTGCCCAGAGCTTGGACCACCACATAGATCCAGACAACACACAACGCATGTTGTGTTAGTAACACTGGCTCCCCTGCCGCCCACCTCTCTGCCTCCAGGGACTGGAGATCAGTACTCAATTAGAGAGAGATTCCTGGAATGCTTTTGGAAAGATGAAAAGGGAACAGAAGATGCCTGCCCGCTGTTTATTTTCTCTGCCCGCTGTTTCCTTGATCGGAATTTGTCATGGTGCATGTTGAACAGACCCCATGAAAGAGAGCAGGGGTGGCGGCAGGGGTCAGTCAGGGTCTATTGCTTTGCCTGAGGAGATCAGAACTGATACATCAACATTTTACCTAACAGTGACCTGCTTCTGAGCCAGACCTGACCAACAGAACACTTTCCCTTCAAATCACAACAGCTCAAGCAGCTAAGCAGTTCAATGGTATAATGTCCCTCCAAACCATAAAAGCAAACCAACATTTGGCTTTTAGACAATAAAATCAGGTCCCATCCACTGTCACTAAGCTGTCCTTTCCCTCCAGTTCATAAAAAAGCCAATCAACACTTGTCAGTTAGGTGGGATTTGGCACATTGCTACTGTGAGAGATGCCTGATCAGAGGAAGGGCTGAGGCGTGCGTATCCTGTGCGAAAGGTTGGGCTCTGTGCTACGTGATAATACAGGCAGCTCCATCAGAGATCATAACTGCTGTGATCTTCACACTCTCACTAAAACCAAGCCCCTCCAAGAACCTGACATAAAAAACAACAACCTGAGAAACCTTCAAATGAGCGACTGTGTAAGCCCCAGAACAGAGGAATCCTCGCAGCAAAGAAGTGCGATAAGGGAAATGCTTTAAAAGAGACGCAGCCAGACGTGGCCTTGATGTGGCTTCATTTCGATGAATCACAACCAGCTCTATAGGGTGCCGTGCGCTCTTACCTGTCTTATGAATCTCGTAGCGCAGCGAGAAGCCTGCCCCCTGGTGGGCGTAGTCAGACACAAAGCGGATGAGGAGCACAGGGCCGGAAGAGATGATTGCGGCCGGAGCGATGTTGCTGCAGTGCTTCCCCAGCAGATCAGCTGAATCTGAATTGCCATCCCGGATCTCGATGAAGTCGTATCTGCAAAAACAAACCCCATGGCAGAAGACATTTGTGAGGGCAGCGGTCACGAGGGGTCAATGCATGTCTAATTCTAGCCTGTCTGACCCTTTGGCCTGTCCTAAACATGTCAATAAAGTGAGTGTTGGCAACAGATACGTTTCAAGCTTTGGCTCCTAAGATGTTAGATGCTCCTGTGTTCAAACAAAGAATTCTGTCTAATTCTAGCTTGTCTTTGGGTGGTCAATGAAGTAAGTGATTGCAACATATACAGCACTGGTCAGAGATGACCCTTCATTTATCTAATTTCCAGCTAAAATTAAAAGTACAAGTTATTTATTTTTCAGTGTCAGGAAAAAGGCAGAAAACATATATTTAAAAGTAAACAACAAAGAAGCCTCAACAACTAAATATAGTATCAAATATTTCAGTACAGTAATGTGTACAAACTTCGTCTTTATTACAACTTCCATTCTTTTCAAGAGACTTTCACAGAAATCTGCAGGGATATTTCTCCACCTCCAGTTCAGTCTTAGCATTTTCTGCTTCTCATGATCCAAGTTATTCAAAACACATTCAGTGATGTTGAGATCTGGACTCAGGGGTGTTCAGTCCTTTGTTCTGCTTCCTGACAGCTACACATCCTTTCAGACTCATAATGTTAAGTTGTCTTTTCACAGTGGAGGGCTGAAGAAACACCTGTGTACTTTTTCATATCTGAAGCAATAGTGGAGCCTGATTTCCTCCTCACCCTCAAAGACAAAGGCATCTTAAGATGCTGCTATATTCAAACAAATAATTCTGTCTACTTTTGGCCTGACCTTTTGACCTGTCCCTAAAACAGTTGCCTGCTTGTCAAATGGTGGAAACAAACACATCTTCAGTTTCTGTCCTGATGTTCAAATAAAGACCAGGAAACAATGAAAGAAACTATGCAACAAACACAAGACAAAGACATAGGCAAAGTCTCAGACTTTCTATTGTATTCCAAATTATAATTAGAAAATTAGAATACACTCGCATACAGGCGCACAGGCACAGGTGCAGGAACAATTAGTGCTAATAGGATTAGAACAGACTCAGACATGATTATAAGATCGCTGAATTATAACAGACACTAGTCGCTGGGAGGTGCACATAAACACACACTCTTTCTCTCTTATGCACACACAGCAAACACAGAAAAGCAGATACACTTACACACACACACACACACACACACTTAAGAGTGTGTATTTAAAAGCCTGTCTGTTTTGCTTCAGCACCACCTCACTATAATGAGTTTTCTCCTCTCTTGTTTTTCTCATTCCATTTCCAGGTTATAAGCTGCCTTTGCCTGAGGAGTTTATGCACGCTGTGGTCAAAGTAAGCTTGATCTCAATTAACTACAGCAAGGGAAAAAGAAACACATCTATTATGCACATCCAACACTTCCTGTCTGATTACACAAAATGGACTCCATTCTTCAAAGACACAAAAAAGTTGACCCTAATGACAAGTAAATTAAAAACAGCTAAAGAGGGAGGAAGGGAGGGAGAGATCTCCTCTTCTCTGCTGCTTTTTAAAGCAGTATTAAAAGATCTGTTGTCTTAAGACAGACAGAGCAAACCAGGAAGAACTAGCAAATTGCCATTAAGTGCAAAAGCGTAAAGCAAGACGTGCTGAGAAGTGCTGTCACACTAACATGGCTGATTTTTACGGTGCTGTGCTCACAAGTAGTTGTACGAGACTAAACCGTGATTTCTGCCAGTGTGCTGAGCCTCATCTAACCCCGATCTAATGAGCCTCCGACTCCTCACTGCATCTTAGCCCTCGAGTTGAGGAGAGCCATTGTCCAAAAATCAACTCCAGCTGAAGAGCCAGGAGTGGCCTGCTGGAGAAGTCAATGAGCCTCAATGTGAAGAGGTTCTGCTCTCCTTTCCAGCTGCTCACACAGCACAATGGTACTCATGGTGCATTGTATGCAAGTCATGTTTCCAAACGTAAGGTTGTGAGAATGTTTATCAGTGATCAGGTTCTTTGCTTATGGCTAAGCTGTTCCACATTTCCTGTGGCTCCTGTGAAGCTTCTGGTGCAGTACTGCTGGCATTTTGCCCATCACACATTCTATGCAGGTTGGCTGTGCGATTCACAGGTCAGCGCACTGTGAATTCAAAGCTGGCCAGAGGATAGGGCAGTGACAACTTTATCAATGCAAGTGGAGATTACTGGACACCTAGCCCATGCATTCTCACAAAGTTAAGGGACTTTTTGAAACCCTAGACTTATTATTCACTTATTAATTTCAAAAGTTATTATTCATTAGCTACTATGAAATGTGGGCCCACATAGAGTTACATAGATTCTATGTAACTATGTAAATTATGAACAAGCTCTTCGTATCTACTGATTTCTGGTAAAAGCTTTTTTTTGCACATTATCATGCCATACGCAATTTTCAGAGCTATATCACGCTCTCCCTTCAACCTGTGAGTTTGAGTGGCCTTGTTAGCACCTCCAGTGGGGCGTTCCATCTTTTCCGCTTCCTCTTCCCGATTCTTTTATAAATAACCAAGCTTTGCTTGATGGGAGATGAAGGTGTGACGGACATTTTTCTGTAGTAGGAGGAGACTGCGAGCTAGAAAGAGAGAGAGGGGGGAGAGCGGAAGAGAGACACCGAAACCCGACACTGCCTTCAGTTCATTAAGTGACAGACACCAGCAGGTGCCTTCAAAGCCCTTTAGCACACACATTCTCTGAGTGATGAACTTTGCAACACATGTACAGACTCAAGATCAAACATATATATGTACACATGTAATGATACTAATTACATTTTTAGAGCTAGGGAGTGTGAGGCGATAGACTGTCAGCACCAGTACACTGATATTGATGTCACACAACAATACTGATTTTCATTTAACATCTAAATAGCTTATTATATAAAACAAATATTAACACCACTCATTTTTAAAGCTATTAATACATTTTCCTAGTTTGTCACTAGAACCATCTGTAGTTCCACCCTAAAGCCAAACTGCTCGAGCACTGCATGTTGCTATGACCGACTCTGTGACTGTAGCCCTCTCATTTAAATATAGCATTTAAATGGTAAGTTATTTTGATGGCTCTCCTAATAAAACCAGTTATTTCCATCCACTGCAATTTGTTTATCACTGAAGTATATCAAGTTTGAAGTACACTTACAAGAAAATTCCAACGCTGATAAGTAGGGCTGTGTATTGGCAAGAACTTGGTGATGAGATATGCATCACGATACAGGGGTTATGATTCAATATATTGCAAAAATGTGAGCAAGGACATATATAGCAATTTTTTAAAACAAATTTTAGGAAAATTGTCATAGAATAAAAAAAACACCCCATTCTTTGTATAGGTATGCTAATGCTAACATTAGCAGTGCGCCCTTATGCTACCTGTTTATGTTGGAGTAGGAGAGTCTAATGGCTGAAGACAAATTCCAACACTGCTATCTAGCAGCCAGAGGTTCAGAAACAACACAAAATGAACCACTGCCTGCCACAAATCTTTGCACGTAAACTATTAATTAAAATTCAATACTGTGTTTTTGAGAATGGATACAGTGCCAAAAAATATTGTGCTACTCAAATGTATCAATATTTTCTTATAGTCCTACTGATATGGTGATGGTAGCAAGCAGACTATGTTAGACAGTGCTTGCAGGAAATCTACAGACTAATCAATGAAACTACTAAAACTAGCAAGAGCAAAAGCAAAGTGGAAAGCTCACTTAACATTGAGGTATGAGAGCAAGAGGGCTACAATTGCAGAGGAGTTGATCGCTCTAGGTGCTGGTGATGGAAAATTGTAAACATTCTACATGCTTAAAAAAAGATGGTTCTTCAAGGGTTGTTTAGTAAAGAAAATGGTTCTATATCGAACCATTAACACTCAACGAGCTCTTCACATGATTAAAGCATTCTTTGCATTGTGAAAGGTTTCTTCAAACCGATGGAGACTGTGCTGTAGATGGTCCTATACAGCACAAAAAAGGCTCTTCTATTGTTACAAGCTTGACATTGTAACAGTAGAAAAATGCTTTTCTGTGCTATACAGAACGCTTTTCAAAAAGACATTCTCCATCAGTCTAAAGAACCATTTCATGATGCAAAATACCCTTTAATCATGCAAAGGGTTCTTTGAGTGTTAATGCTTCTATATAGAACCATTTTCTTAACTAAAGAACCCTTGAAGAACCATTACAGTGTAGCATTCACCTGGTGGAAATCACGTGACTTTCATGTTTCATGAAAATAATGCTACTGAATTACTCATACTGCTCTAACTTTTTAAAAGAGAAAAAATATGCCTTTATTTGAGCAAATATTAATTACACAAAATAATGCAATCAATTGCAATGAATTATTTAATTCTTTGACTGGCCTAATTTTTAGTTTTAGTGATACTGGCAGATTACAAAAACCAAAAAGCAATTTAAAATGCATAAAGGTAAATATACAGTAAGTTTCCTTTCTGGATCAGGCATCCAACTATATTAATGCAAATTTAAATATCATCTGAAACTGGGATATATTTAGAAAATATTGTAATATTTTATCAATACTCCCCAGCACTACCCAGAGTAACACAAGAAAAGACATACAGACCGAGATGCATCGACACACACGAGCCAGCAAAGTTCAAAGCAGGTAAACTTATATATTAGTGCACAGTGCACTCACTCCCTCATTTCATGCCTGGTGACTGATACTCCACTGACAGCGAATTTCACAAAATCACAGCCCCCGCCTCTCTCTCCGGCCCAGCTCTATCACGCTGACAGCCAGGAGGAAGTAGGCGCGTGTTATTTGGTTTGGTAGGCTGGGGAAGCTGCGGGTGGCTTTGGGACACTTCTAGTTGCCCACAGGCTCAGATTCAACCTATTCCTCAATTAACATGCACACACAGCCACTGCCACAATAGCAGCATTCACATAGTGATGGGGACACATGCAGTGCAACACTCACTCTCTGGTCATTAGAGTCACATGGCCAGCAGTC